TGTACGATTTTCTGCTTATGATCTCATGATTATGAAAAGTCTAAGATTTTCCGAGAAAGTTTTCATTTTTCCCGGGAAAGTTCAGAGATTATAGAGTGTATATTGGTAAGTGAAATGATTTAAGAAAGTTTCGATCTTTTCAAAGAAAGTAAATCAAATCGTGAAAGGGAAAAAAAAAGTTTCTGTCTTTTTGATTCATTTTATTAAAAAAAAAATTCTCTTTTTACCGTTTCTAATAAATGGTGGCATTAAATGTTGTTTCCATGGCTGGATTTTTTTTTTTTATATAATTTTGGGTTTGGTTATGTAATTTAATGCAAAACAAAAGGGCAATAAAGAACAAAGAGATTTTATGTACACCTTTTTTAGTTATCTCTCTTCTTCTCTTTCTGTGTTCAAATTTATGGCAGAGATTGTGATTTTTAATTGACCTTTGAACATCCTTTTTTCATGTTTTGAAGATTTTTTTTTTTTTTCTCTCAAAGGTTGGATTTTTCTTCTTCAATCTATTAGGGTTTTTGTGATCCCTCGTTTGATTGATTTGTATTGGTAAATTTTAGGTTTAAAGTTTATGGCGGAAGAAGAAGTTTGAGTGAGTCTCTGTATCTTCTGATAAGGATTTTTTTTTTTTTYTTTTGTTGTAGTTTCTACTTTCTTGTTACTCTGTTTTATGAAAGATTCATCTTTTAAGTTTAAAGTCTTAATCTTTGATTCATGTTTTAGACTTTTTTTTTTCATTTGGATTCTAGTTATTAGATCTGTCGTTGATATTCCATTTAGTTTTGATTTTTGTTTTTATTGTGATACTAGATCCAATATTTTAGACAGTAATACTTGAAAAAAAAAAACTTACTTCTTACTGGGATTCTCAGTTCTAGATTCTTCTTCTTTTCTCCTGCAAATTCCATTTGTTTATTGATTGATATTCTTGTGAAAATTTGAATGTTCTTCTTATCCATTTTTATTTTAGAAAAAAAGCTTTGCAAAAAAAAAAGTTTAAAGCTTTCACCTTTTTTTTTTCCTCTTTCTATAACAATGCAAAAGATTCTTCATTCTTTGCCTATAAACTTTTTAGCCCCATGGATAGTACTTTGTTTCACTTGTGTAACCTTATCATTGATTGATTGCAATAAATCTTATTACAATTGTTGCAAGTAATTTCTTATTAAGGAAGTGCATATTATTATTGCATTTGACAGCTTTTTTTTATCTAATGGTCTTTTTCTTTACGTTAGCAAAAATGTTGGAAAGTGGTCATTGTAGTGGTTGATTGCATCTTTTGCTGTTTTATTACCTGTTTAGCTCTCATCATGATTTGTGTTTTTGGACATTGAGAATCTTTCACATGTGTGACTGACCATAGCATATTGTTGCCCCCAAAGCTTAGTTTGTTTCTGTCACAATCTTCCTGGTCCATTGCTTCGTTGAACAACTCTTCTAACTAACTCATATGGAGGTTGCTTCTGTATCTATCCTTGAGAGTAACAGATAGATAGATTATAGTTTTAACTTTTGTTGATTCTATTCTCTAGAATGAAGTTTGCTAATAATACTTGTCTTCTCTTTGCAACTTCATTCTTGTTATCTTTTTTTTCTTTCTATGGATTTGCTTGAAGATGCTTGATATAGATTTTCCCTTGGATGTGTAGATCATTTGTTGCGACGGGTGCTTGAAGAATTCTTCTTTATGCAAGATGAGAGCAGGTAAAAAGTCGGTAGCTTTCGAATCCTTAGTTGCTTTCTGCTTTGTAGCTTTAAGATGTATCTGATGGTCTTTGAATGTTTTGCAAACTAGTAAGATCAATTGGTTGTTTCAATTTTCAGATAATGATCACGCGGTTGGAAACTCGGTAGAGAGTTGCAAAGATGAGTCTAAATTACCTGAAGAGAAGTGGGAGGATGCAGAGGTAAAGATGTCGGAAAATGGGAAGAACAATAACAATGTGTGTGAGTTGTTCTATGATACAAGAAGTGGCGATGAATGGGATAAAGAGAATGATGAAAACAATTTGGAACGCCATTCTTGTGGAGATTCTAATGAGGCAGGAGGAAAGACAATCCGAGATAATAGTTGCGATTTTACTGCGAAGAGAGATTCTCTTGAGGAAGTTGATCCGGTTTTTTATATGGACAAGAATGTTATGGCATGTGACTTACCTGAGATCCTTGTTTGTTACAAGGAGAATACTTACAATGTCGTGAAGGATATATGTGTCGATGAAGGCGTGCCTGTTCAGGAGAAGTTCTTGTTCGGTGAGAAAGATTCTGTAAAGAGTAGCTCAAACTCAAACCAGTGTGGCTCAGAGGATTTGATGAAAGCAGACAAAGTCACTGTGAATCCTTTTGAAACTAAGTCCTCGGAAGAAGGCAACAGTGAGTTTTGTAATGATTGTAAGAAAGACCGAGCTGTCGAAGAATCTTCAAGAGAAGATTTTGCTGATGCTGAAGGTACTAGTAATTTCAATCAAGCGCATTTGATTGTGACGGAAGAAGTCAAGGATTCTTCGTCCACGCACGGGTTAAATCCATCTGAAGTTTCTCTTGAAATCGAATCTGATGAGAATTCGAAAGACGAAGTGACTATTTCATCTGAGGAAATCTTAAAGGAATTTTTAACCTTGGGAGATATTCTATCAAGGGAAGATGAACAAAAACCTCTCCTCAACAACAACAGCGATAGTCGTAGACCTGAAGAACAGTCTCCACCTCAGCTTCAGGTAATACATTTCATCAATCTACACCATCAAATATAGTTTCAGTTTTTAATCCTAAAGTCTCTAACTTGCTTATTTGTGACTGCAGGATAAGGAAAAAAGAAGCGTAGAAACCGCAGCTTTCGAAACAGGGCTTAAGGAAGCAAAGGAGCCAGAGAAAACAGAGGAGAAGCTTTCCTCTGTTTCTACAACAACCTCTCAAGAACCAAACAACACTTGCAACAACTCTACCGAGAATCAACAGCAAAACTACTTAGTGGAAGATGACAAACTTTCCTCAAGCAGATTTGGAGAGACAAGTTTCTCTGCAGCAGAATCAGTTTCGATTTCAGGTCATATAACATACTCAGGACCAATTGCATTCTCTGGAAGCCTCTCCGTTCGTTCTGATGCAAGCACAACGAGTGGAAAATCCTTCGCTTTCCCAATGTAACTCTTCATTTCTTTGATTCATCATATCATCAAGAAACTCAGAAAGGGGTAATCTTTTGCTGAATTTGAATCATTTCGTTTGCAGATTACAGTCGGAATGGAACAGTAGTCCTGAAAGAATGGCGAAAGCGGATAAGAGAAGACAAAAAGGATGGAGACACTCTTTTCTCTGTTGTAGATTCTCTTGATTCTCCTCCATAGCTAGTCCTTAAGGTTTTCACTTTGAAGCATAGAGCAAGAAGAAGAAAGATTTGTGAAAATTACAATTATTTTTTCTTTGAAAGGGGTGCTTTTTCTTTTCTTTTAATACTGAAGTAAATAAATTTTCTCTTTTTTTTTGGGGTGATTTATGGTGTGTAATTGGCATTTTGGTAGTAGTAGTTTTTATCTTACTTTGTTAGGGGTTTTGGGTTTGGTAACAAATGCAAAATGATCGGGGTTATGTAACCGATCGGTTATAATTTCTATATTTCATTCATGTATACATGC